GGGTATAAATACCATTGATTAATATCAATACCATACTTGTACGATATTGATATTGAGTTAAGGTATCAATACTAATTTGAGTTTCGTAATTTGAAAAAATAATTCAATATCAATACTGTTAATCTAGTATTGATATTGTTCTAAGGCAATATTGATATCACATGAATAATATCAATACTATCAATGTTGAATGATTAAGATTGTTCAATTTAGTCATTGATTAATGATGATTTGGAGACGACCCCAAAGTATGTTGATTTGTATAATTTGGTCACTGATGTTATAATTAATATTGTGATTACAATCAGTCCATTAATTACTGTTAGAAATTAGTTGTAATTAGCTTTTTTAGAGCTTGTTGTGTACCTGCGTGTACTTTAGTATAGCTAGTAATAGTGTGTTAAAGGTCAGAAGAACAGAAGAAGAAGAAGAACTAGAGGGAATGTTAGCATGATGAGTCAGCATCAATGCTGTTAATATTGCAGCGTGTATGAGCTTAGATTGCATGGGATCATCAGTTGAATAGTTAGAAGCTTCTTGAAGTTGTTATAGCAGTTAAGGTTGTTAGGATGTTAGCATGGTTAGTTGAATATTTAAGGTTGTTACAATAGTGAAGTTGTATATAAACAACAGTAATCTTGTATTAAATGCAGAGTTCTAGTATTCAATATACAAGTATTGTTCATTTGTTTTCTGCATTCTCAATATGGTATCATTCGTCAAACGGTCATGACTTTGTTTTTCTTTCGATGCATGGAGTTTGTTAGCTCTATCGTGACTGCTTCTGCCGTCGTTGATGTTGTTTCCCTCGAAAGGTCACTGATTCCTGCAAATGGCGACGACGGTCCCCAATAACCTGAGTCACGATCAATACGTGTACTTAGCCAAGCTATCTGAGCAAGCCGAGCGCTACGAGGAGATGGTTCAGTTCATGCAAAAGTTGGTCCTCGGCTCAACTCTATCCGGCAAACTAATCGTCGATGAAAGGATTCTTCTCTCCGTTGCCTTCAAAAACATGATCGGATCTCTACGTGCCACGTGGAGAATAGTCTCTTCGATCGAGCAAAAAGAAGAAGGTCGAAAGAACGAGGAACATGTTGTGCTCGTCAATGAGTATAGATCGAAGATTGAATCTGAGTTGTCGAATGTTTGCGCTAGTATCTTGACTTTATTGGTATCAAATCTGATCCCTTCTGCTACTGCTAGTGAGTCTAAGGTTTTCTATTTGAAGATGAAAGGAGATTATCATCGTTATTTGGTGGAGTTTAAAGCTGGTGATGAGAGGAAAGCTGCTGCTGAGGATACTATGTTGTCTTACAAGGCAGCTCAGGATATTGTGCTGGTGGGTCTAGCACCAATGCACCCGATTAGATTGGGGCTAGCTCTAAATTTCTCGGAGTTCTACTATGAGATTCTCAATTAGTCTGATAAAACATGTAGCATGGCTAAACAGGCATTCGAGGAAACCATTGCTGAGCTTGCCACACTGGGAGAAGAGTCATACAAGGACAACACTCTCATAATGCAACTGCTAAGGGATAATCTTACTCTCTGGACTTCGGATGTGCAGGACCAGTTAGATGAGCCGTAGCAGGCGTGTTAAACCGGTGGTGGTCCTAAGGAGTTCGTGGTTTACTACATCACCTATTTTTTCAATTTGGTAAAGCAAAATGGATATAATTACTTGGGTGAATTTGTAATAAGTATGATAATATAGTCCTTTAAAAAAGAGGAAAAAATATATGTCAAGGAACTTTGTATAAGAGGATGAAGAAGAAAAAAATGAAGGTGAACAAGAAGAACGAAAGGAAGCATCGACACTTTCGATTCAAGTGAACGGAATGAAGCATCGACACTTTCGATTCAAGTCGAACGGAAAGAAGCATCGGCACTTTCGATTCAAATCGAACGGAATGAGGCATCGACACTTTCGATTCAAGTGTTCATATTTTTGTCAAGAAGGTTGAGAAAGTAGGGAGAATGTTAGAAATTAGTTGTAATTAGTTTTTCTAGAGCTTGTTGTGTACTTGCTTGTAATCTAGTATAACTAGTAATAGTGTGTTCAAGGTCAGAAGAATAAGAAGTAGAGGGAATGTTAGCATGATGAGTCAATATCAATGTTGTTAGTACTGCAACATGTATAAGCTTAGATTGCATGGGATCATCAGTTGAATAGTTAGAAGCTTCTTGAAGTTGTTATAGCAGTTAAGGTTGTTAGGATGTTAGCATGGTTAGTTGAATAGTTAAGGTTGTTATATTAGTCAAGTGAAGTTGTATAAACAACAATCTTATATTCAATGCAGAGTTCTAGTATTCAATATACAATTGTTCATTTGTTGTCTGCATTCTCAACAATTAAAACTTGATTAATTAATTATCCAACAATTGAATTAGGTTAAAAGTTATCAATATCAAATTTGATCTTCTGTAACATTATCAATTGATTTCAATCAGATCGGGCTGAGGTGTTATAACATATGACACATTAGCAATTAAGCATATGTGAAAATGTCACATCAACAACCTGCATTAAACATTAGTTAACTGATAGTTTCCATTCACCACGTGTCATTTTTGACCAAAAATTAAAATGTTAGGGGCTAAAGTGCCCCTAAAAAAGAATAAGAACCAAAATAACCATTAAGACAAATATTAGGGGCTAATTTTGGTACTATCCTTTTTTTAACATTAAATTTCATCACAATATTATCTTCTAAGTTTGCAATTTTCAGGAATAAATCTGACTTTAATCATTCTAGGAAATATAATTTTTACCATATACCAACTTATAATCTCATCAAATTCAAGGGGACTAGTTCATAATTTCCATGCCAACCCTAGGTTTGCCTCTGCACGTCAGATCTATGTTGAAATATAATGGCCATACAAATTACTATGTTGACTATGGGTCTTGATTGGAACAAGATTAATTGTTTGAGGATTCAACTAAAATATTTTGAAGTTTGGAGACCAATCTATAATCTAATCATAGTTTGATGATGTTAAATGCCATTAATATGATCTGTCATCGTTTAGTACTCGGGCCTAGGCTTTAGGTCAGGTTTATTAGTGAGACCACTTGAAAAAATTGTAGATATTTTTTTATTAAGCTAAGATGATTATAAAGTAGCATATGTTTTAAATACTCTCAACCATTTGATAATAAAATCTTAATCATCCTACTGCAATCGCTGGTACTTGAACTCGTGACCTCAAAAACAACAACAATTCGTTTAACCATTAAATACTCTCAACCATTTGATAATAAAATCTTAATCACCCTACTGCAATCGCTAGTACTTGAACTCGTGACCTCAAAAACAACAACAATTCGTTTAACCATTGATAGGCCTGTAAACGAACCGAACGCACACGAACGGAGGTATGTTCATGTTCGTTCATTTAATAAATAGACGAACATAAACGAACACGAACTAAACGAACAAAATTTTTTTTGTTCATGTTCGTTTAAGGAATATAATTTGTTCATGTTCGTTCATTTAATAAATAAACGAACATAAACGAACACGAACATAAACGAACACGAACATAAATGAACACGAACATAAACGAACATAAACGTTGGAGACCCTACCTTCCATTGTTCTTTCATGAAAAATAGTCGACAATGCAAATCAACCAAATCTACAGTGATAAATAGCGTAAAAGTTGATTAGCAGTGATGAAATGTTTGAAGATATCAATATTTCGATCGATCTTTTAAAGATATTAATGATTCACACAACTTTAATTTAACGCTATAACATTTATCTTAGTGGTCCATGATTACATATGAACAATCATTTTCTCCTATTACACTCTTTTCAGAAATGGCATAGAAACCTTTGTTTTGTTTTCTGGTAAATTTATATTTTTCTCTTTACTGATGCTCGTATACTTCCGATTGTTACCTTTATATTCCCATCTATTTCTAGAAAGAAGTATGATGTTTTCTTGAGTTTTAGATGTGAAGATACCTGCAATAACTTTACATATCAACTATTAAGCCAAATAAAAAACAGAGAAAGAGATGAAACAAACATGTAACTTCATATTGCACTATAATATAACTTGTTTTGAAGCTTTCAGCGATCGTCTCCACTCTCTAGTGAACACTAGGGTTTGGGAAAAAAAGGGGGAAATGAAAATAGGTGCGAGGTGCCTCACAGGTTAACATATTGGATTAATCTCCAAATAAATTGGATTAATTATGGAGTTGGTCATCAGAATATCATATTAATTAATATTTTTAAGATACTTACAAATTGGTCACCAAAATTGATTTAAGAAGATGGGTTAAACATAATGAATGAACATAAACGAACATAATCGAACGAACATAAACGAACAAACCGAACGAACATAACCGAACGTTCACGAACGTAAATGAACGAACGAGACCTATGTTCATGTTCGTTCATTTAATTAAACGAACAAAAAATATTGTTCATGTTCGTTCATTTAATAAATAAACGCACATAAACGAACTTCCCGCCGCACGGTTCATGAACGGTTCGCTGAACGTTCAGTTCATTTACAGGCCTAACCATTGAGATAAATTGTTCGTGTAACTTAGATTTGAATTTAGTGTCATTGAATAATTATTTTCAGGATTATATTAATTAAATTTATTGGGTAATCGAAGTTTGAGAAATTTCTACACGAAGTTTGACCCGAATTGTTTATATATGTACTTTCTTTTTTGGTTTAAATTCATTTTTCAGGTTTAATTATTTGTACAAACCGTTCTAAATTTTTATTTGACCTTTGAATATATATATATATATATATATATATTGTAATATCTAAATTATTATATTTTTTAAACTACAAAATCAAAACGATTGCATTTACGTATATTTGGATCACAACTTTCATGAAGTATTCATCGAGTCTTTTCAAGCCACAAAATCAAGAATAATTACATTTACGTGTCTCTGAATTACACTTTTCATGAAATATCAACCGAGTTTAGTCTTATACCTTTTTCCATAAAATTACTATCTAGGTCCTGGTAATGTTATGGTCAATGAATTAGAAGGAAAGGGGAAATTGGTTGACAAAGGATCATCTTTATCGAAGACATCTCCCCCTGCAAAATAGCCTGGTTTTTTTGGCCGAAGTAATGAAGAAATCTCGCTTCTCAGCATAAGAACCATGGCCGCTATGCATGGCCGGTCTTTCGGACGACGTTGTACACATAGTAAGCCCACTTGTATCGATCTCAACACTTCGGATATTTCACACGATGTCCTTGTCCTTTCATCAATCAATGACCTACCTTCATTGAAAAGCCTCCAAGCCTGATGACCAATGTCAAAGGATCATTTAAAAAAAATAAAATGGATGGACTAAATTTCAAGTTTAACCATAGTAAAGGCATGAAGATAATAATTAGACCGACATGTATTGATGGAACACTTACATGCCCAACAAGGTTGCGCTTGCGGTCTGGATCTGAGAATCCCCTGTTCCTTCTTCCGGTTACTATCTCTAGCACCAGCACTCCGAAGCTGAAAACATCGGATTTTATTGAAAACAATCCATCGATCGTGTACTCGGGAGACATGTAACCACTGCAGAAGATCATCGATTCGATTTAACGAATTTCACATTCATAATATACATGGTTCATGAGAAGTTATTATCGATACTTACTACGTTCCAACCACTCTATGTGTGTTGGCTTCGGTCTCATCTCCTCCGAAACTCCGAGCCAAACCAAAATCAGAAATTTTTGGATTCATTTCGTAATCGAGTAGTACATTTCCGGCTTTTAAATCTCTGTGTATGATTCAAAGTCTCGAATCTTGATGAAGATAAAGAAGACCTCTAGCAATTCCATTGATGATTTGGAACCTCGTAGGCCAATCTAGCAATATGCTTTGCTTTTCATCTGCCACATTATATTTCCATGTTACTTGCATTCAGTCAATTTCAAAATAATAATGAGTAAAAGCGTAATACCAAAATTAACCTCCAAAATTTACTAAAACGGTCATTTTGGCCCTTATTCTTTTTTTTTACTACCAACTTTTCATTTTGGGTAGAAAAACCCCTCCATGGATGGAAACCATTAATTAACAAATGGTTAACGTTCCAAAATAGGGACTTTTCTATCCTGAAATGAAGTGTTGGGTGGCCAAAATGCTCTAGAATAAAAGAATAAAGGTCAAAGTGACTATTTAGTAAATGTCAGTGACCTTTTCCCCTAAAACGAGATGTTAGGGGTCATAATGCTCCAAAAAAAATAGAGACTAAAATGGCTATTCTGGTAAATGTTGGGGATAATTTTGGCATTATGTCATGAGTAAAATACACTAAAAGGTCATTGAACTATGCTAAAATAATCATTTTAGTCATTGAACTTTAAAAAGTTACAAAATGATCACTAAGTTTTATCAAGTTGTAATAAAATGGCCGTTAAATTTATCGAGATTTTACCATCATTATAAAACCGCAATGACTATTTTGTAATAATTCGATAAATTTAACGATCATTTTATAATTTTTAAAAGTTCAACGACCAAGATGATCGTCTGAGCATAGATTAGTGACCTCTGATGTACTTTATCCAATAATAATTTGGTGAAAGCGGAACAAAAATGAATCGAATCAAACCAAATATGAAGGAGTCCAAGCTTTTGTTGGGCATGAACTCATAGACCACTATTCTTTCATGCGGCTCAATGCAACACCCTAAAAGCTTCACTAGGTTGCGGTGCTGAAGTTTGGAGATGCATAAAACTTCATTTTTGAACTCCACAATTCCTTGGCATGATTTCTTTGAAAGCCTCTTCACAGCAATCTCCTGTCCATTTTCCAATATTCCCTGAAAGAAATTGAGTAAAATTGTATATTACGCAATGGTCAAAACTGCAGATTGTATCTATCGAACCTCAAGAGAGTGGGGTTTTACCTTGTACACTTCTCCAAAGCCACCTTGTCCAAGCTTATTTCGCGGTGAGAAATTGCTTGTGGCTCTGCATATTGTATCGAAATCAAATAATGGTACCTCCAAATCTGATTTCCTTCTCTCGTTGATGTTTTCTTGCTCCGGATCATGTTGCGAATTAACTGTTATGCAAGGGATTGATTGCTATTCTATCCGCAAGATCCGAGTTCGAGTAATTACGTTTGTAGAGTATATGTACGGTGTCAATTAATTTAAAAATTTCTAAATAAATATTATTTTAAAATTATCCTAAACTATTCAAAAGAAAAAAAAAGAGAGACTAATTGAATTCCCTTAATAAATAGTAAGATTATAAATTAAAACTATGATGCAATTATAATTATTATTGTAATTTGTAAATAGATTTCGTCACATATAATATTAATAGACGATATTATGAATATTATTATAATCTGGTTATATAATTTTATTTACATAATTTGTCTTAGAATATGATAATTATAGTTATGGTTTATAATAATTATGGTCTTAATCTTTTGAATCGAATTTAATTTTACATGAACCAAACGAACCTAGTAGTTAAGAGATTTATTGTTATCCTTTGAGATTCTAGGTTCGAGCACTGTGCATGTAAGGATATGAGTGTTCATTCACAAATAGTTAAGAATGTTTGAATATATAATGCCTTATATTCCCCTGAAAGACACCAAAAGCAAGTGTTAATAGTTTAGAGAAGTTACCTTTTTCTTCCGCATGGCAAGCAAGGTGAAGCAAATGCCAATGACAAATACTCCAACGCATAAACAGTGATAATGATCTTCACCCTTTTCTTTTCTTTCGACGCCCTCAAAGGCCCTGCCATAACCACCGTAATTTAAAGCATTTGCCACACATGCCATATGGAAATCGGATATAGTTCAAGCACTAATACGAAATCGGATATAGTATAAGTACTAATATGAAAATCTGATGTAGTTTAAGAACTAATATGAAATTAGGATGGTTTACTTATCAAACGATGTAATTAAAATTATAAATATTTTGACTCAATACATTTTTTAATCTCATAAAATTTGAAATTAATCATTCAATTCTAATTCTTAGTTACTTACGAAACGGCCAAAGTACTCACTTGTACGTAATTGAAAACAGAAGTCCAATGTATTAATTTATGTTTGATGAACATTGCAAATCAACGGTGCCACCTCATTATGTTTTTTTTAAAATAAGATGGATACACAAATGTATTATAATAATTAGTAAACGTCAATTAGTTATTGATATAGTAGTAAATGATTTGTGTTATTTTCGCTTATATTTTGAATAACCTTTCCTGTTACTAATATAAAATAAAATATTTTAAAATAAAAAAGATATATTTAAAAAATAAATACTTAAAAATATATTTTTTATGCAGTACCTAAAGTTTTTTTTTTTTTTTTTTGAAAGTAAGTATTTAAAATGTATTATCTCTTTTGTCTAGTTATTTTTAACGAACATTATGTGTTAACTTTAGATACTTAATGAAAAAGATGAAATATTTTGAATATTATTTAATAAAAATATTTTAGATACGTAAATAAAATTACTATACCTATTTCAGAGGCAGCCATCCTAACGTAAATAGTCTGTCCATTTTGTTCAAACTCCCTAATGTCAATGAGATCACCAAACCAAAGTATGCACCCACTTCCACCATCCCTAACATCAAAATTTGCGAAGGCAGTGCAAGTGCAGTTCCCCAAGCATCGATCCCTGCATTGTTTCAGATCCATGGTCCGGTTGAACCAAGAGTGTCTGGAGTCAGGCAGCTTGATTCTGGGATACTCGATAAAATCCTCTCCGACTTCGCAACTCAACGGGACATTCCGGACGCATCCTTGCGCCCAATTTGCTATTTCCCATTCATTGGGATACTTGGGCACAAATCCTTTCAAACACCTACATGTTGGTGAATTGTTGATGCTGCAACTACCATGTGCACCACATACCGCATACATATCGCAATTATCTGTCATCGCGTTCAAATACGGCCGCCATTTGAGGTTTTGATCGTCCCATATGAGCCGGTGGAAGGCACCATCTAGAGCTAAAACACTCCTATAACAACTGACTTGTTTATGAGTTCATATTTGCAATAAATCTCCTCGTCATTGAAACAAAATCAATGTGTAAATAGTGCTCGACTTTAGATACAATAGGCCACTAAACCCCAAACCATTCCAATGTCCGGTCCGGAATAAAATCTCTGAACCCTTCTTGAGGAAAACCTCCGGTAGTCCATCTGAATCGAACCCGTCCGTGTAGTCACCGGTCGAAGGATCACTGGTGTTCTTCCACGATGTTAGGTACCGATTTATGCCTGTAGCCAAGTCTATCCCAAACTTCATGCTTGGTAAAAGAGTATCAGTTGGATAATCGAAACTCTGCCACACAAAATCCTCAACATTTCCGTTTCCGTTTCGTTTGATGACGAAATTTCCGGTATCCAAAAGTTGAGCAACAAGATCGGTAGCTGATCTCGAACTTGAAATCGATCTCGATGAATTTATAGACCAAACAATTCCTCTGGTACCATTGTAAAGGATTAGGTTTCCTTGCTCTGCAAGAAACAGTTCTCCATTTGTGTCATTGAGAGGGTTGTTTCTATTGGCAACCCAAACCACCGTCCCGGTAGGTATCTCCTTGCACCATATTCCGACATAATGATTATCGGAACTTTGAGGACTGAAAAATCCCAACTCGAAACTCCCATTAGCCGAAACTATGGTCTCGTTGTACTTGATCGATCGGTTCACAGTAAGGGTATCGACTGCAAGGGAGGTTATTGACAGACAAAAGAAAGAAAACACAACAAAGTGTAGATTGAAAACTGCCATTGATGATCCCTGGTTAAGCTTCTCAATCAGTATTAGTTTCTATGAAAGAATGAGTCCATCACAGCTATAACATATAGGCTAAAATTTATTGGTTAATTTTGTAAGCAACAATGACCTAAAGTGATATATTATTGAAATTTTAGGCTAGAACTTAGCTAAGTAACCAGTCTAATTTTTATATGGAAATTTGCTTAGTAAGTCCATTTTGGCAGCTACGAATTATTCCATTAGTATGCTAAAAACGGGTTAATTTCGTGGGGTAATCCTCAAATTATGATTCGGGTTTTAAATCAATCCTTAAAATTTAAAATATTTTAATTGTATTATCAAAGTATTACTATGGTAATATTTATTCTATATAAATGTATTCTCCTTCTCTATATAATAATATTTTAATCTTGACAATTGATATAACTATGATCTAAAGGTTGTAGAAAGGTATATAATTTGAGATTTTAACATCATGCAATTGAATTCCTTCCTTTATTTAAAAATAATTACAATTATTATATTTAAATATGTACGATGGAACATGTAAAAGTACTATGGTCAAGTCAATATTCTTAAAGAAATTAAAGTCAATTTTATTTTGTCACAAGAAATTAAGAAATTACTTAATTCCTGTAGTCACTGTTTGTTTTAATTTTTTAATATTTCTGGATAATTTTTTTATAAAAAATTCACAATCAGTTGCATTTGACGATGACCAGAAAATGGTCCCTTTCACCAAACAATAGTAAATAGTAAATAGTAAATGGTTAGATTAAAATCGGTTGACACCATGGAGACTTGGCTCCCAAAATAGTAAAATTGAAAAATATAAGTTAATGAAATTGTAAAATTGTATTTTGCCCTAAAAGATAGTAAAATTTTAGTTTACCATCATTAAAAACTACAAAAATATAAGTTAATATAAAGATAAACTACACGGATGGTCTATTTTGTTTTTGATTTGTTTCGTTTTGATCACTAGTTTTGACAAAGTTTAATTTTTATCAAAACTAGTTTTGACAAAGTTTAATTTTTATCAGTTATGTTTTTAGGTTATAATCTTTGATCATTCGAATGTTAATCTTCATTAGATTGTTGACATAGCACATTAATAAAAAAATTTAATTTCTATTTTGATTCTTGAATTTTTGAAAGTTATTTTTTACCCCTTTTAAAAAAAAACTAAAAAATTAGGTGACTTATCCGATTTAATTTTAATATAATTTAAATAATTTAAAATATATATTTTATTTAAATTGATTGAAGAAGATATATAAATCATAATAAAAAATCATATTTTGAATATTTTATTATCTTTAATAAAAAGTATAATTTAAATAGATTGGCTAGACCTATTTTTTTAACGAGTTTCGATTTGGTTTCATCTAAAACACTTGTACCCAAGATTTGAGCCCTATGTGCAAGTTTAATTGAAAAACTTAATCATGTCCTTAATACGATAAATTATTTCATGGATCCAGTTTGCCATGTTATTCATGATTCAGGTGAATCGCATTCATTAATTTTAAAATAATTTTTAAATAACTGTTCACTCCTTATTTATATGTAGGAAAGATGTGAAGATCCACCTTAAAAAAATAAGATGAAAAAATATTATTGATTGAGTCCATAAATGACTGGTAAGTCAGGTCTTCTAATAATTTTCCCTTAAAAAAAATAAGATGGAAAAATACTAGTGTTTCCCCTTCAGTATTCACTTAGCATAATTCTGTGCTTAGATTTTAACCCACATTCTCTAGGTTGGTGTGCCTTTGCCAAGTCCTAGCTTGTTTATTGCAGTAGCAAAAGATGGCTGGAAAGGAGTTCACTGTTGATCTGAATAATTCCAGACACTTTGTACAACTTTCGGTTTCCAGTTATTCCGGTTAAGTTTTAAGTTCGAGCCTTATGGATGAAGGGGAAAAAATGACTTCACCTCTGATTTGGATGTATGGCAGGTTGGTCCCCTGGAGAAACTTACCTGCAGGACTAGGTTCACACCCCTATTCTGACCGGCGGAAGTCCTCGGTTTTTCGAGAGTAACTTCAACGAGGTACATGAAACAGATGATTCGGGTGTATTCGGATTCGAATGTTGAAAAACGAGCTAATGTTTCTTTCCCTTGTTTGACATGAATCAGATGATGACTCGGACTGTGTGGAGGGCAGTGCCAGTCATATGGCTGCCGGCTGCATTTTATTTCATCAAAATGTCCTACACCATGGATCTCACACTTCCCCTAATATTCGTACTGTCTGTTGTTGGGGCCTTTGTGTGGACATTTCATGAGTACTGTTTCCACCAGTTCTTTTTCTACCTTGACACAAAGAGTTATTGGTTAGTTCTTTCCCTTGGTGCTTACAACACTAACACAAGCCGATAAAGTCGAAAATTAATTCTAATCTTAGTGCTTGATTTAACATTATTAAATTTGATTCAATTTCGGTCGATTATTATTTGAATATATTCGGTTTAATTTTTGGTACTAATTCATTGACAACTTTGTGCAAAGGGGAAGCACATTTCACTATCTCATCCATGGTTGCCACCACAAGCACCCCAACGATGGACTAAGGCTTGTGAGGCCACCTGCAGTAGCCGCTATACTAGCTGTAATGGTATGGGCTTAAAATTGATAGGATTCACTTACCCTGGAGTTTAAGTTTTACATCTTTTTAGGATCGTTGACGAGAGCGAATAGACAATTAACATTAACAAAAGGAAAAGAGAAGATAGTCATTAGAAAAAACTAACAAGAAGTTAATCTCAATCTTTTATTTTTATTCATCTAACCATCTTAGATTTATGCAAAATAATATAATTTTAGGGTTTGTATTATTGTCTCTACCGGTATTTTTGTTTCGATCTTTATTTACCAGATTGGGAACCTGTGTGGGATTTTATTCACTCTATCGATAAGATCAGTTATGTTCAGAGGTGGATTGATTGGTTATGTAATACACGATATTACCCACTACTACGTTCACTATGGACAACCATTTAGAACATGTTTGGTTTTGCAGAAATATCACTTGAACCATCACTCTAGGATTCAAAACAAGGGCTTTGGGGTACCTATCACGTTATGGGATAGGGCTCTTGGTACCCTTCCGTAAACGAAAGCAGCTGAGAAGAGTGGATAGAGAGAGATAACAAAGTAGGCTAAATAATTTGCAGCAGCCCATGCTGCTACTGTGGAAAACATTATTTTAATGGTTGGTTCATTGTACTGTCTTAGCCGTGCATTGCAAACTATCCATAAAGGTGAAGAGGACATCTTTGTCGCTCATATTAGAGACTTGTAACATGAGCTCACTGAAACATATTCTCGGATAGACTGGTCATATTCAAGATGGTTTAGCTTTGATCGAGCTTCAATTTAACATATCATGGGAAATTTTATTGTTTGAGTTCTACTTAAAATTCTTCCATGTTCTTGTAGAAGTGCCCCCGCTTTTCATTAGAGCATCTGCAATGCCACCGTAATAGTGTAATATCAATTAAATAAATGCTAGCAGTATTTTCCTTATCGAGATCTTCGATACTTACAGTTCAGAAATGTTGTTTTATGTCCCAAAGAAAGTTCTCCGTATTCGGGGCTGATCTAGTCCCTTTGAAATCCTTCGGCCTCGAGGCATCCATCTTCAGTTTGTGTGCAACAACCAACATTCCATTACTCAGGACTTCCATGCACAAAAAGTGGTTCTCCTTTGAGTTCTTCTACTTCTTCCCTAAGTTTTAATCTCAGCTTCAAGAATATTACCACTTCTTTGGCCCACCTTGTATATCGTCTAGTTGAGCACGTATTAATTGCGTCTCCTATTTGAGCTCATCTCCATTGAAGCCCAACTGTTAAGGCGTGTTTCGTGCACGTCAAGGGTCTCGTCTACATCCTTCGTGGATCTTTCGAGACGGCTGACCCTTTCTTCTAATGATGACAAGATGTCCCTTGAATGTTCTCTTTTTTTCTTATCAGCACGGGTCTTCATACCCTCGTGTGTGACAACCTTGCGTTCTTGATTGTGCCATAAAAAAATAAACTTCACTCACAAACTTCACTATGATACCATTTATTACAGGGCTAGGGTTGAAACTAACGAATTGTGTGGCCTTAGGCACTGAGGCATAAGTTGTGTATCTAAGTAAACCTTCGACTCTAGATGAACAACGCCTTAAAACCCATTTTAACTTGAAAAAAGTATGACGTAAAAATAAAATAAGAGAATGTTAGAGAAAACAACTTATGTCTCAGTTAGACACACAACTTATGCCTTAATGCCTAAAGAAATGAATATTTTTATAAGAAAAAAAAACATCCATGTTTTATCATCATGACGACTACTTGTAGATTGACAGATTGAATAAATATAGTTATTTAATAGTAAATTTAACTCTTACAGATTATGTAGACTATCAAAGATCATGTCAAGAACTCTAACAAGAGGATACATAACTCCAGACAGAGACAGAACCATGACTTCACCTTAGGGGGCAAAGTATAACTTTTCTAAAGTTAGGGGATAATTTCATCATTATCTCATAGATATTTAAATTTTATATATAAATTAAATGAAATTGCTGGGTTGGAGGGACACAACTCCTCCCACCCCTGACTAATTTCGTCCATGTCCGGAGGACAATAGCAAATAAGAGGATATAGAACTTTAGAGGCCTCAACGCTCGATAGGCAAAAGAATGATAATAGTGTTATGATTTTTGGAAGACTGGAAGACGTATAATAAACTCTTATTTTACTAGTAAAACACTTGGAATTATAAAAAAAAGGACTAAGAGTGATTGAATCGAGACTAAATTGATAAACTTTATAAACATGAATGATTAAATTTATTGAATTATTTAAAATTATGGACAAATGGATACTTCTTTTATCCTATTAAATCTGTCAATTATTGATTTTTTTAAAGTCAAAATTTTTAAATTTTGATTATGATAATTTTAAACGATTAAAATTTTATAAATATATATTTTAAAACTACTTGATTGAATGTTTTTAAAATATAATTCATATTTTTATTAATAATATTATTAGAATAGCTAAAAAATTTGACTAAAAAATTAATAATAAACAAATTTAATGGGAAGGAGAGAATATAAATATAGAAGATTTAAATTTAAAATGTTAACTAAGATTAATTCTGACCAAACTAGAGTTAGTTGTTCAGTTAACTTTTTTGTTTTGGATTGGATGAAACACCTGTCTGTTTTCCCACCATTAATTAAATACTAGAAGTAACTTAAATATTAATATAATATTTTCACATTAAATAATTTGAACTAGTTAAAATCGAAAACAATATTTTTAATAAGAACTATTATTCTAATATACATGTCAATATCTATTAAATGGAATAAAATCATATATATTAACAGTTAATATGTTTTATTATATGGGCCAAAATTAAAATTTGTATAAATTATTATATGAATAATATTTATATTTAATACACAAAGCCTCCTCGTTCGTAACGAAAAAGGGTAGCAAAAGTGAAATAATATATTTATATGGGTCAGGCCCATTCGCTTTTACCAACATTCACGTGGTGAATGTGACTGTTGTCAGCATACCTGCCATTGATCTATAAGATATTGTCTAAATTATTTTAATGAAGTAATATATAAAAAATTAAAATGTTTTTAAATGGCAGTCATGTATACACCTATGAAGTTTATATTTAAAAATATTGAGATTTTAAATAGGAGTTCTATCATTTGTAAATACTATGTTTAAATATATTAATTAATTTATTTTTTCATCAAACTATTTATTATCGTCAATTTGTTAACTATTTTTTTAAAAAATTGCAGGCCTCGTTAAAAATTATTTCTAATCATAGATACAGGGAAAAGAGTGCTCAAATAAATTAGCAATTAAAAATATTAGTAATCTCAAAACAAATCAAGTAAAAGAAAAGAGAATTATCATATCTTAGAGCCCTAATTATATAACATCTCTATTAGAAATCTCTATTATAAATTAAGATGCCCTAGGTTTCTTGGAGGTACAACCGCAAGCGTTGATAAGTCATCTTCCGTACTCAATTTGTTAACTATAAATAACTAAAATATTACATTATATTATATATGATTTTGAAAATAATAATAATAATTAGGTGAACAAAACATAAATTAAGTAACAGTTGAGTGATTACAGAGGTAATTTACCCTTAAAATAATCATATTAAATATGATTTACTAACTCATTATATTTTAGGGTAAAGTGTATGAATGATCCCTCAACTATAAAATATTATTTTTTAGTACTCTGACTATTAAAAGTTACAAATGCTCTCTTAACTATATGATACTGTTTTGTTGAGTCCCCCGACTATTAAAAGTTACAAAATGGTAACCCGACTATTTATATATTCCAAACTCAATATTTTCTATTAAAAAATTAGCGGTCGTTTGAGTTGAACATTAACTAATTGACTTGAAATAATAAGTTCTAATCCTAGATCCGTTTGAGTTGTATTTTATAGATCGACTATCCATTTACATTATGTCATCGAGTTAATATTTAAAACATTATACCAACGAGCCAATGCTTGAAAGCAATGGCGGTGCCGATAGACATTATTAAAATAAAATTTTATCATATCTCAATCGATAGGTTAACACCCAATTCAAACGACCGTCAAATTTTAACAAAAAATGATGAGTTTGAAATATATAAATAATTAAATGATTATTTTATAACTTTTAATTATCATAAGAATCAACAAAAACAACGTCATATAATTAAATGAACATTTTATAATTTTTAATAATAAAAAATTTAACAAATCAATAATCTATAATAAATAACCATATGTGTATTTTACTGTATATTTTATTTATTTATTTTTACTAGGTGGGATGGGAATCTTTCTAACTAAATTAATAAAGTTTAGGTCAATAACACACATTTCAAGAAGAAAAAAAATCTGTTTTTTACTTGCATGAGAGAAGAGCCACATCACCGGTTATGGAACTCACGCACCAAATTTAAATAAGGTGCTCGTTGCTTTCCCCACCCTTCATTAATGTTTGGGATTCCATAAATCCCTCTCTTCCTTCTCTTCGCTCTTCACTTTACTAAACATATTCCGTGCTTTTGCTTCTTTGTTTCTGCAGATTTTACTCTCAGAGTGAGGTCTTATATATTTTTTTAAATTTTTTTCATCTCTTTCAAGATTTGGGGTTTTTTTGTATCACTTTGATCGAGATAAAAGTAGAATCTCTTCGATGATTCTGTATGCTAAGTCCTAGTTTGTTTTATTGCAGTAGCAAAAGATGTCTGGAAAGGAGTTCACTGTTGATCTGAATAAACCCCTCGTCTTCCAGGTACTTTGTACAATTTTTTGTTCATATGATATAAAATTTTATGCCCGTCCTTGTTTCGAATGGGTCGGCTATATCTAGTAGGTTTGAGTCTTGTAGATGAAGAAATAAGGTTAAGAAGCCCCACATCTTATTTGGATATGTGACAGGTTGGTCACCTTGGAGAAACTTACCAAGACTGGGTTCACACCCCTATTATGACCGAGGAAAGTCCTCGGTTTTTCAAGAGTGATTTCATGGAGGTACCGTAAAAGCATCCATTTTCGCACATTTGTTCGTGTTCAAACGATCGAGCTAATGTTCCCCCCCCCCCCTGTTTGCACATGAAACGCAGATGTTGACTCGGACTGTGTGGTGGGTAGTGCCAATCGTATGGCTACCGGTTGCGTTTTATTTCATCAAAATGTCGCACACCATGGGTCTCCCACTTCCCCTAGTGGCCATACTGTCGGTCATTGGGGCCTTCGTGTGGACATTTCTCGAATACTGTTTTCACCGTTTCCTTTTTCACCTCGACACAAATAGTTACTGGTTAGTTCTTTCCTTTGGTGCTTGCAACACAATTCTTTTACTAATTATTACTCAAACGTGATGGGTTTTCCTTTTTGGTACGAATTCATTGACAACTTTGTGCAAAGGGGGAACACATTTCACTATCTCATCCACGGTTGTCACCACAAGCACCCTAACGATGGACTAAGGCTTGTGATTCCGCCTGCAGAAGCTGCTATACTAGCCGTAATGGTACGTATACGTTTTTCTTTAATTTTATGCTTCCTTCATAAGCTACACACATTACCAGAGATTTATGTTTGATTCAATAACGATACCAAAATTAATATATCATCCCTTTTTTAAATTTTAGGTAAAGTACATCAATGATAATACTTTATCTAGTTTTTAGATTTTTAAAATTTATAAAATGATCTCTTAATTATAGAATATTATTTTGTTGAGTTTATTGATTATTAAAAATAATAAAATAGTCATATGACTATTTCATATATTTAAAACTTGTCATTTATTTTTGTTAAAAAATATGTTTTAACTAAATGTTAAATTGCTTATTATATTATGATAAAATCTAATCGTAAAATTTTAAATAATTATCAGTTAACATGTTAATATCAAACTTAAAATATCATCATTTTTTAATGAAAAAATACAAGTTTAGAACATATAAAATAATTTATAACTTTTAGTAACAGATAGACTTAATAAAATAATACTCATAAGATTATTTTATAATTTTTAATAATCGAAATACTCAATAAACTAACACCTTATAATTAAAAAGATTATTTTTGTAGTAATTTTTAATAATTGATAAATTTAATAAAATAATGTAACGTGCCATCATTAAATTTGAAGATAAATTCGATGGGTGATAAAATAATAGTTCTTTCCCGTGTGATAAGTGTCCTTACAATATAATGAAATAAAAATTTGTACGATTAAAAAGTTTATATGACAATTTTGTACTATGTACAAATCAACATAAATTATTTACACTAAATTGACATCTTTTATCTCTATCCACCAGTTTTGGAATCTATATGGCATTTTATTCCCTCTCTCGATAAGACCCGTTATGTTCGGAGGTGGACTGATCGGATACGTTTTATACGACATGATCCATTACTACGTTCACCATGGCCAACCCACCAAACCATCCATCAAAACCCTCAAGGTAAGACACTAACAAATTCAGTGGTGACTGTGTGTATTTCCGGATGAGCATCTAAAATCTAAATTTTATTATGTTATTGTTCATTGATTGCATTTATCCGAAAATTGTACTTGTGTTTGTTTTATATAAATAAAAAAATTATCGAACATTTCGACAAGAGTCTTGTCATGTAACAGCATGCTTGGTTATGCAGAAATATCACTTGAACCATCACTTTAGGATTCAAAACAAGGGCTTTGGGATAACTACAACGTTATGGGATAAGGTTTTTGGGACCCTTCCGAAGACGAAGGCAGCTGAGAAGAGTAGATAGAAAAGTGACAACAAAGCTGCGGGTATGCATGATTTGTTGGGTACGGTTCTGTAGTCTATGACGGTTGGGTGTCGTGTTGCCTTTTTCTTTAAGCTATATGGGGTCTATGTTGTCGTACTTGAACTGTTTGTCTTTAGTAATAAATGAATGGGTGTTGAACATGTTTGTCCGTCTTTAGTAATAAATGAATGGATGTTGAAATCATACATGATAATTAAATTTTTATTTATATTATAAATAATTACTTAAAGTATATCATTATTTTTTATTCAACTATTTAAAGTGTTTTTGGTTAAACTAAGTATTTAATTTTTTTTATCAAAATAAGTTTTAAAAGTATTTTTATTAAATAAGGATCTGAAATATTCTTTAAGTTCACTTGTTAACTTTTTTTAAATAAGATAAAAAATATTAAATATTTTATGTATTTATTTTGATTAAAAAACACTTTAAGTACCTGAATAAAAAATAATATACTTTATGTACTTGTTAGTAATATAACCCTCAAGTTTTTTATAGTTTAAGATAATTTTAAGATAATTATAATTTGAATTTGGGGTTTTAAAAAAACCATCTTATTTTATTAAAATCAATGAAAAAATAAAATAATAACTTCTTTTATATAATTCCGCTTAATTAACGATTTTATACCTGCTTTACGGTATATATCATAATTAAAAAAATATTAAGTCAATAATTAGTAGTATGCTAATAAAAATAAGTATTGAATTTAAAAATAGGAGCGAAGTGAGGGATCGTGTCTTATGTTTGGAGATTGAGAAAAACGTACGACTCTTAAGTTGTTAAAGTTAAAATTGTGGGTAAACTACCTGTTTTAGATTTTTGTTTTTTTATTTTATTTAATAATTTTTTTTAAATTATATTTAACATTATATTTTGTTTCTATTTTGATGTCCGCCTTTAAGTTTGATCATTAACTAAACATTAGTTTGATCACCCTATATTCATCGGTCCGTAGAGCTCTTGATCAACACACATTCATTAACACAAAAATTTGGGGTGTTACACTCACCTTTAATTACAACTAACGATCAAAAGTATTTCTATTCCAACTATAAGTTGCAATTTTCGGTTACAATTTGCGTAAGACTAAACTCATACACGCTCAATATGTTTTTATTTACTTGGTACACAATGTACGCTATTCATCAAACAACAATTACACCTGATAAAAAGGATGATATTGTAAGTCCATCCGACATCCCCAAGCCACTCACTTCCGAACATAAAACCGTTGATATGTCTTCCACAAAACACATCATAGGCAGCTGCAAACTAAAGCATGTTTGGCCAAGTGCTTTTGTTATCTATCCACTCTTCTCTGCTGCTTTCGTTTCCGTTACGGTCCCAAAAGCTGTGTCCCATAAAATCGTGCTGACCCCAAGGCTCTTGTCTGGATTCCTGAAGTGATGGTTCAAGTGTTGTTTCTGCATTCAGCATTATATGCTCTCATCAACCAACAAAGAAGCCCCATCTAAAACATGTTCTTTTTTCGTTGTAAGTAATTGGAACTGATTTTTTATAGAAATATGAGACTAGGTTATCACTGAATTGTCAAATTAAGTCTTTTTTCGTCTAGCACGAATCAATCGACCTCAATGGTTAAAGAGATGACTGTTATCTCTAAAGGTCACGTGTTCAAGCACGACATCTACAGGGGTGTTTGAACGTTCACTATCAAATGATTAAGAATTTTTCAAACATATATTACCCTATAATCACCGTAAAATATTAAAAATAAAAGTCTTATTCGTCTAAATTTTGAAGTTAGTAACTTGATCCCTTCTATTGTCTAATCCTAGTTATGCCCATGCAGTCCGTTTTCATCTTTTTTATATATATATTTTTTTGACAAATTGTAAATCTAATCCTAATCCTATCTAAAGGGGAAAGAGGGCCCTAGGGAAGGAAGGAAAGTGCTCCTAGCGACTTGGAACCCATGACATGAAGGGAGACTCTAGGGGAAGGAAGGAGAATGCTCCTAGTGACTTGGGACCCATGACCTAAGAAAATATGAGCAAACAAAGATGAGCAACTTGATTAACCGTCCAAATGTGAATATTGACATTAAGATGTGGGAGTCTAATTAAATTTTTTATTACTTTTAAAGGCTTAACGAGAGTTTTTCATTCTTTAGGACTAAATTAAAAATATTCAAAAAATATAGCATAATAAATTTCTTACAATTTTTAAAGGGACCTAATCAAAGTTTTAAATTTTGGAGGATTTATTAAAAATTTCTTATTTTATGTATGTCGGGTGGCTCTCATCATGTGTCTGCTTGTGATATTATACTTAATTTAGAGATAGTACTTTATATATATATATATATATATAATTATAGTATCGATTAATTAATTTATTATCTAATTCAAACTGAATATTATTAGATTCATTATGAAGATAATTCATTTAATTTAGGTTGCTCTATTCATAATGATTTGGTTGAGATTCTTAAATTTATTAAAAGGACTTAACATTTCATCTTATTAAACTCATCGATAGTTGATAATTAGAGATTTAATTGTTAAAGAAAATGACACAAGACAACATTAGCTTACCTTAAGATTTTAAGGATTTGATTGGTGGGCTGGCCTCTGTGTAAGTAGTAGTGGACCGTATCAAAGATCACATACCCAGTCAATCCTCCTCCCAACAAAGCATATCCCATGGAGAGAGTGAATAAAAGCCTACACACGTACCAAAACTGATAACAAACACAATTAGTCAGTGGATTCAAAAATATTGTTTATAATATATATATATATATATATATTATTAATAGAATAAGTATAAATGAAATTTCAATGCAAACACAACCAATAAAATAAGTAACTAATCTAAAAATTTAGATTCCAATAAAATAAACAAAATTTGTACATACAATTAGGACAAATATAGCAACTTCTAAAGGTGGATACACAAGGCGTAGGCCATCCATAGGGTGCTGGTGGTGGGAGCCATGAATGATGAAGTTAATGGTGTTTCCCCTTCACACAAAATTGCCGATCAACTAGGGTATCATTCGTAATATTTTTATGTTCGATTATATAACTTTAAGATCAAAATGTAAGATTATTGTCATATTATTATATATATTCTATTAAATTATATTATACGGTATCTATTTCTACTTGTACGTGATATAAGTCCCAAGAGAAAGAACGAACTAATAACTCTTTGGGTGCGTTTGGTTCACGGAATATAAAATTACATTTGAGAATAAGATTACCGGAATGTAGCATTAATTTGGGAATGTTGTATTATCCTTTATGGTTTGCTTACTAGAAATATAATATTACATGTTTGGTTGGAAGAATATAAGATTATTTGGATGTATATTTTACCAAATTATCTTGTGATATATATTATTTTAACAAGTAAAACTTTAATATTATAAATATTTGAATGAAAAATTATAAAATATTTTAATTATTATGCTATCTAAGTTTTAAAAATACATTTAACATTCGGTTTTGTTAATCGGCGGCGATACCAACTTTAATGTTAGTTGCTAACTTCGGTATTCTTTATTGTCTCTTTCTTTTCTATATGTATTTTTTTCCAATAAGTTTGCATGTGTTGCACGTTTTCATCTGTCTTTATGACACATTTTCTTATACTTTTTGATTTTTCGGTTCTTTGGCCATTTTTTTCGTTTATCTTTTTTTCTTCTAAGGGTTGATTTGACATCACCACGATTGATCAAGATGTCGCTTATTCTAATATCTTGTTGATATTCCTTGTTTTGGACTCTCGGATTGAATTTGGATACCCAATTGCGATCATGGATAGCTTTTCACATCGCTCGAGTCTGATTTACGGTTTGTCGGTGGTATTTCAATAACTTGATCCCCTTTTATGGTTCGTTTGCGATGCAATCAGATCTATTTGTATCTATCTTTGTTCGAATTTCTTGATTAGATTTAATCTTTCCTTATGATCTTTATGTATCTTAAGTTGCTAGTTTTGTTTCACTGATTATAGGAAATTTTCCTAATTATGTTCTTAATTTATGATTGTGATCATAAATCTTTATTGTAATTTGAGATATTTTCTATTTTGAATAAATTAGGGTCTGTTTGTTTTACTGAAAAAAAATTCCAGAAAATGAATTATGGAAAATGAATTACATTTTTGTAAAACAATTTTCAAAAATAATTTTCTGGTGTTTGGATGATATTGTGTAAAACATTTTCCGTCGTTTGGTAAATTTTCCTGAAAACATTTTTGAAATATGTTTTAGTGAAACAAACACATTACTATTTTTTTTTAATTTTATATCTTTTATTTTTATTAAGTTAATTTTATAAGTATAATTTTTTTTTTAATTTTTATAAGTGTATAATGTTCTTAAGTAAGATTACAAATAGTATAACAAGTTAAGGAAGATAGTTACGGATTTGTTTTTCTGGACAATACCAAGCACACTTGTGAATTTGTCTTCATCAACAAAATGTGATTGAATAATGAGAACATACAAGGAGTTTAAAATAAAATTTGTGTGTTATTTTATTATATAACTTATAATAACCTAAACCCTAAACCCTAAAACTACGTTGCTAACAACAAAACATAAAAAACAAAACATTCTTGCTCTACCGCAATTAAGCAAAAATCCTAATTGTTTCAGTCACTCTACGCAAACTTGCATTATTCACATAACAAGATCACACGTGAACAAATAACAAAACAACCGAATAGGTGAATTATCATACTCTTAATTATTCTTACTGCTAACTTACGAAAGGATAAGAGACTTCACAGATATTTAAAACATGTTGTTTGTAAACAATTGAAGCCATGTATATTTAACATATGAATCTAAGCAGTGGACAGTGGAGTTTATCATCCACACTTAAGCCAACCCTACTTATATGACATCCATCCAAGAATAAGTGAATTACCATACTCTTGGGACACTATCTCTTCATATCTTTGAAAAAGTATGAAAGATTACAACACATCTCTTTCTTGGTCATAATCACCATTGAAACAAAAACAATTGAATTTTATCAACACTCCAACCTTGCAAATTCGACCACCACGTCCTGTTCATTGCCTTCAACACTAAAACTTCTTTGTAAAATATCAAGCTTCTTGTGCGTTCTTCATAGTAAGTTTCTTCTGGTTGTTGAAATTCGAGTCTAATAGAGAACCGATACACATACTCAATACTTTCATCTCTCGAGCCTTGCTTCATGAACATTTTTCAGAATTTACAGTCCCTAGATTGATCACTAGCCAAGTTAAACATATCGTAAAAAAGAGAATACATTTACAAACAATCATCAATAGATTAACTGACTCTTGATCTTCAACAATCATCAATACATTTTCCAGCCAATGCATAATCCTCATTCTAGCCAACAATTTATTTAGCAATCATCAATACATTAACTAATTCTTGATCTTCAACAAAGTTGTGAAAACTCTTTCTATAGTTAAATACAACGGCTACTTTCAACATTTGATCTTATAAAATAAAACTTTAACCTAATAACACAAGGCCTAAAAATTGACAAACAAGCTTTAATCTCAGCTTATAAAATGATATGATCATCAAAAGTACAAGGATCATCCACTATCGCCAAATAATAATGCAAAATATGTGTAATGACTCGTAACCCAGACAACATTTAATTTTTTGTGTTAAAAAAGTGTAAATTTCCACTACAATATCAACATGCAATACATGGTATATATGTGCGTTGGTATCGTATACAATCATGTTAAAAAAATTGCAAACATAGAAAAAGGAAATGAATTTAAGGGATAAAAAGGCATAAAAATGGAAAATAAGGGAGATTGCATTAAAAAAAAGGTGAAAAATGAACTTGAAGGAGAAATAATGAAATTCCTTAAAGAGGGAGTAGCAGAGCACAAAGAAGTTGGATTTGGTGAACAAAGGATTCAATACCCATTGTTCATAGAAGTCTATTTTCCGATTGTGAACGGGGAGAGTATCGTCGTTATTTCTTTTCTGTAAACAAAAATATTAAGAAAAATTATACATAAATAAAAGGAAAGAAGAACAGAGAAGAGACTTCAAAATCGTCTGAGCTGTTTTCCTCAAAGAGGAAGGGATGTTGGCGTTATATGATGAGGTTTTGGTTTGTTAAAGAATTTGCTTTGAGTGAAAAATGCTTTGAAGAAGAATGAAAAATGACTTGAGGATTTTATTCGGTAAGTTGTTTTACACAAAAACACGGGCTTTTCCTTTGACTGTAAATCAATTTACATTCACCAAAATCTTTTACATCAAACAAACACAAGAAAATGTGTAAAATTTTCCGTAAAATGATTTACTGCAAATAAATAAACCCTAGTTTCTTCTTTCAAAAAATAATACATTTAACATATAATTAATATCATTAATATATCAAACTTATAATTTTAAATTATTTTCATAAGTATCATATTTATTTATATAAAATATAAAATAATATTGTGATCTCAAATGGACAAATATATTATTTTTAATGTATAAGATCTATTTTTAATAACTTAAAATTAAATATTATTTTAATATTACTTTTTTACAATAATAATATTTTCACCTCATAAAATTATAACATTATTAATATACTAAATATTAAAAATATAAAATAATTTTAATTACTCATATTTATCAATATTTTACTAAATTAAATCTTTGTATATTATTATTATCAAGTTTATAATTTGGAGTAAAACACGAAGAATAAGAATTGAGAATGATCTATATGATTTTTTATTATTATTTCAGGGATATTTGTGTCCAAAGTGATGGGAATTATTCATTACCTACATTCCTACCATTTTAACCCAAAAATACTACTATTGATAATAAGTTATTACCTGATAATGATTTTTCTGTGAACCAAACATGTGAATACAATTCCGGAAAAGATCATTTCTCTCGATAATGATCTTTTCCGTGAACCAAACGCCCCTTTGTGTCAAGGCGAAAACTAAAGCGATGCAAACAATATTCGATAAATGTCCATGCAAAGGCCCAAAAACAGACAATATGACCATTAGAGGAAGTGTAAGACCCATGGTGTAGGACATTTTGATGAAATAAAACGCAACCGGCAACCATACGACTGGCACAGCCCACCACACAGTTCGAGTCAACATCTGTGTTTCATGGTCAAACAAGGGAAAAAACGTTAGCTCGATTTTCATCCTTCGAATACGAGCAGATGTGTGAATACGGATACTTGAACAATGACGGTACCTCCATGAAATCATTCTCGTAAAACCGAGGACTTTTCTTGGTCAGCATAGTAGTGTGAAGCCAGTCTTGGTAAGTTTCTCCAATCTGACGAACAGTGGCGGATCCAGAAATTTAAGAATGAAGTCTAAAATTTTAATTTTTTTTCTTAAAAATAATGAGTATGCAAAATTTGTAATATTTTTCTTTTTTTCCTTAACACAGTAAGCTAAATTTAATCACATTTCCAAAATAATGGGATGCACTTGACCTCTATAGGGGCTTAGTGCATGGTGACCAACCTGTGCCATACAATCCAAATTAGAGGTGAAGCTTTACGAATATTATTTCTTCGACTACCACACATTCGAAACAAGAATAGACGCATAATTTTATGTAGAAAATATACCTGGAAGACAAAGGTTTTTTCAGATCAACAGTGAACTCCTGTCCTGCCATCTTTTGCTACTGCAATAAACAAGATGCAAAAGCACAGAATTATGTTTAGCGAAGTCAGTAAAGAAAAGGAAGAGAGCGTTTTATACAGAGGGATCCTTTATGGCAATCTCAAACATTAATGAACTGGTGAAAGCAATGAGAACTTTTTTAAAATTTGGTAGGTTAGTTGTAACGAGCTTTGCTGGTTATACCACTCTCCATCAAGGGGAGAACACAATTTTATATTAGGAACGAACTTCTAAATTTTAGGAGGGGACGAATTTATAAAACTTTAAGAGCCAAAAACTGTTGTAATTATTAAAACAATTGACAGAAAACGAAAACGATCGAAAAAGAAAATAAAACATATTAAATTTACGTGAAAAATCTAAAAAAAAAACAGGAAAAGGAGATTTTTTATTATATTGAAGAAGTACAAGATTTGTTTAAACAATAACATATCTTTCCCAATATACAAAACATTACCCCCTACTTTCTGTTTATAGGGATAATAAACCAAGGAAACTTGCATAGAAAAAAAATCTTACTCTTACTGAATTTTCTTTCTTGATCAACATTAAGGCTGCAAAAGGATTAAAGTTCCAAACGGATTATATTGCTTAGTCCGCCCTGCAGGTCTCACATTTTTATCATTGACATGATTGTAACTTCATAGCTTGATCAAGAAGAAATTCGGTCATAACTCTAACAAAAATAGATTTCAATAGAAAATGAATAGAAATAAAATCAAAATTTTTATATATTTTAAATATTTTCTTTGTATTTTCTATTATAAATTTGTTTTCACGTTCTTAAAATTGTAAAAAACTTTCTTATTTTAAAATTTTATAAATTTATTCTCTAACAAGAAATTTTATGTCCGTCTCTACCACCACCACAGAGTTCGAGTCGGCATCTGTTTCATATTTTAGTATAACATAATTTTTAGACACCTCATATGTTTTAAATTTTAATATTTTAAATAAATTTAGGGTGAATACAATATTATATGTTCAAAGAATCTTAATCATTTGACAATAAAAACTCATATTCCTGGTATACTTTGTGCTTGAACTCGAGACTTCATGGAATAACAAAAAGTTTCTTAACTACTAAGAACGCTTGGTTTATACCATATGTTTAATATTTAAAAAAAAATAATTAAATCCATAATATAAAGTATTAGGTACCCAATTATCTTCATATAAAGACATGCTACACATATTTTTCTCAAAATCTATTCAAGACCTTTTATTTACACATACATATATCGCAAACTGTAAAAGATACCCAAAAATATCGCCGTAGCCAATGGCCAATTGGGTGAAGCGTGGCATTATAAGCTCTGACCGAGATCGTGTAAATTTAAGGAGTTGAGGAATTGACGAGAAGAAAAGATTTGTAAAATTTATAGTTAAAAGATAAAATAAAATAAAAAATAAAGTTAAGGGATTAAATAAAAAAATGTATCTAAAAATAGGAATTGAAGTTATATAGGTATTTTATAGTGGTAGAGCAACATGTGCTTCAAATTTGTTTAAAATAAACTTAAAATGAATGATGAATTGAAGAAACTAAGAAATCATGTAAAATTGATGGACTAAATTGAAAAAATATAAAATTTATTATCAAAAGGAAGAATTGAAGATACATAGGTATTCTAAAATAGGTTAGAGCACATAGTTCAAATTTGATAAAAATCCACTTAAAATGAAGAACTGAAAGAATAATAAAAAAAAAACAAAATCATAATATTATCAAAATACTCCATTAAATTTCTAATTTTTTTTTGACTCAAAATTTTTAAATTTTAATTTGATTTGACCACAAAAATCAACTTGATAGTTTGAATATACTCGAACAATTTAAATAACTTAAAATTAAAAAAATCGAACAAATCAAATTTTATTTACTCCTAGAAGGAGTCATTCACGAAGTTACCTCATTTATTTGCAATAAAGGCGACAGTTGGGTTTTTTTATGGTGATAGTCGTTGTTGTTATGTTTACCAAAAGGTTTTATATTCTCAAGTTTTTCATATAATTGATCTGTTGAAAATTGACGGGACCTTTGAAGACTGTTTTAATGGTAGTATTAACTTTTTAATATTTTAAGGGTAGTGTACACAAATGGTCCCAATTATATGAGGTTACTTTATTAAGTTTTTCGATATTTAAAGTTACAAAACGATCTTTCAATTGTAGTGTGTTGTTTTGTGGAGTCCCTCGACAATTAAAAGTTACAAAATGATCATTCAATTATTCATTATGTTCCAAACTTGTCATTTTCCGTTAAAAAATTGAAGGTCGTCTAAGCTAGATATTAACATGTTGACTGAGATATGATAGTCATTTGAGATTTTAAGATCAAATTTTGTCATATTTAGTCAACAAATTAACGTCCAACTCAAGCTGCCATAAATTTTTTAGTGAAAAAGAACGAGTTTGAATATAATGAATAGTCAGATGACCATTTTATAATTTTTAATAGGCGAGCGAGTCAACAAAACAATGTCCTATAGTGGGAGCATTTTGTAACTTTTAATAGTCAAGAATTCAATAAGGTAGCATCCTATAGTCATAGGACCATTTGTGTACTTTACACTGTTTTTTAATAATTTATAATTTTATAGATTATGATATTTTATATATATATTTTTTAAAAAATTATTAATGTTTTAGTAACTTATTATTACTATTTAAAAATATTTTAATTATTTTATTTTTGTATTTTAATTTAAAATATTTTATTTTAAAAAATCAATTTAACCCTTAATTTTAAAAAATAATTCTGCATAGATTAATATTAGGTTAACCTTTAAATATTTATATTTATACCATTCATTAAATATTTATATTTCTACCATTCATCAAATTATAAATACAACTTATAATATCTACACTTTAATTACATGACCTTTTAATACTTAAAACACTGATATAATTAATCATTCTATTTTATGACATATTTATGGTAACATTATACATATGTACATATAACTATTGATTTTAATAGAACATAATCCACACAAAACCGAGATGAAAGTACAAACGTAGAGTTATTCAAATTTTAATGCCTTCAACAAAAGACATGATAGGCTACGGTGCAAATTAAAGTATGGTTGGCCAAGTATCTATTTGCTCTCCTCTGCTGATTTGGTTTTGGGTAGGGTTTCAAAAACTCTGTCCCATAACGTCGTCGTCACACCAAAGCCCTTGTTTTGAATCCTAAAGTGATGGTTCATGTGATATTTCTGCATTCAACAGTATATGCTCTAATCAACCAACAAACAAACAACATTGCTCCATCTAAAACAAGAAACAAAATACTTCTAATTACGTTGCATTTTAGTTTTGTTTTAGTCACCCGTTGTTAAAAAATTAACGATGATTGTGACATGTCACCATAAGATAATATCACATCACTATTGAAGAAAATAAAAAAAATTATCATGTCAATAATTTTGTTAATTTTTTTAATGTTGTGTGATCAAAACGGAACCAAAATGTAATGTCAGATATGATTTCAAAAAAAAAGTTATGTGAAAAAATAGAACCATGAGAATAAGTGGGTGACTAAATACATAATTTTACCTTAAGACTTTTAAGAATTTTGCTGGTCGGGTGGCCATGGTGTAAGTAGTAATGGGTGGTATCATACATCACATATCCACTCAGTCCACCTCCCAACAAAGCAGATCCCATGGACAAAGTGAATAAAAGCCTACACAGGTACCAAAACTGATAATACATGAAAATTAACATGTTATTATTGGAATTAACCCAAAATCGAAGTTTCTTTAATAAAGTTAAGAGAAAATAAAACAAAATCAAATTCGAGTTTCATTATTTTTAAATTATATTTATTTCATTTCGATCTTATAACATAATTTCCGAATTCATCCCTAATTATAAAACGTAGGAAGAAAATGTAAAGCAGGATATGTACATACCATACCGAGAACTATTGCAGCTTCTAAAGGTGGAATCACAAGGCGTAGGCCATCCATAGGGTGTTTGTGGTGGAAGCCATGGATCAGATAGTGAAAGGTGTTTCCCCTTTACACAAAATACTATATCAATTTATTCATCCTCTATAATATACTTTTAATTTTTAATCCGTGATTAAAAAGAATGTTGTGCTCCCTAAAGGTCCTAGATTTAAGTAGTTGTGTATGTGTATTATCAATTATTAAGAAAATTCTAAATATATACTACCTCCAAACTATTCATATATATTGAAGTAATATTTTAAAACTCTTTAAACATATTTCTGTAAAATATTTTAAATTTGCTTTTATTCATTTAAGTTAAACTAATTAATTCTAAGGTAAAGTATACAAATAGTCCATCGACTATCAAAGTTACATAATGATCCACTGACTATAAGGTGTTGCTTTGTTGAGTCACTCGATATTAAAAGTTACAAAATGGTCATCTGACTATTCATATTTTTCAAACTCATAATTTTTCGTGAAAAACATGTCATTTGAACTAGACGTTAACTTTCTAACTGAGATATGATAAAATATGATCCCATAACCAATTGAATTGTATAGTCGTTTGAGATTATAAGATTAGATTTTATCATATCTCAGTCAACAATTTAACGTCCAACTCAGACTTTCGATAAATTTGTAATGAAATAGGACGATTTTGGAACATTTCAATAGTTGGTGACCATTTTGTAACCTTTAATAGTTGAGGGACCAAAAAAAGCAACACCCTATAGTATGGGGACCAATTTGTAATTTTTACTACTCAAAGGACTCAACAAAGCAACACCTATAGTCCAGGGACCATTTGTGTATTTTACCCTTAGTTTTATTTAAAGTTATGATTAATTATAAGCCCAAAGAGAAACAACTAACCAGTAACTCTTTGTGACAATGTGGAAAAGGAAACGATGGATACAGTATTCAAGAAATGTCCACACAAAGGCCCCCGAAACAGACAACATGGCCACTAGGGGAAGTGTGAGACCCATAGTGTAAGACATTCCGATGAAATAAAAAGCAACCGGCATCCATACGACCGGCACCACCCACCACGTGGTCCGACTCAGAAACTGTATCATATTAAACAAGGCAAAGAACCGTTAGCCCATTTCTTTGACCCGATTCGAAATTAACCCAAAAAATATTTGTATATTACCTCCGCGAATCCGCTTTCGAAAAACTGGGGGCTTTCTTCGGTTAGAATAGGGGTGTGAACCCACTCTTGATAAGCTTCTCCAAGGTGACCAACCTTAAAACATTCTTCAAACACTCAAAACTCTATGATAGTCCATAATCAAGACGTAACTGTGTTAACTTCAAACACTCAAAAGTATCAACTGATTAATTTTAGTTCAGGTATTGTTAAGGTTTATTTTGGTACGAGTCTCCTCATACATAATGAATTCGTATACTTATGAATAATTAAATCTTCAATCATGTATGACGAATTAGATATGCTTATATGAAACTCAAAATAAAAAATATAAAAGTACCTGGAATACAAGGGGCTTATTCAAATCAACAATGAATCCCTTTCCAGCCATCTCTGCGGTTGCAGTAAACTTATAGAGATTAATCAAACGATTAAAATATCGAAACACTACTAACTATCAATTGATTTAATGAAATAAAACATTAAAATTTTAAATTATACTCGAGATTTCGAATACACGTAACAATAATTTTGGAATGCAGGAGATGCTCACGATGCCTAGAAGTTAAAAGTAAGATTGAAGTGATGAGAAGAGAGGGGGGACATAGGTGTACAACTTAACCTTCAGTATGTGATTTTCCTAGAAAATGTATTTATAAGTGACTTTCTGTCTTCGATTCTTAAATTTTCTTGTTGAGTGATAAATGTCATTGTTTCATAGTCAAACTGTCTTCAAGATATCATATTGGATCTTCATGCTTTGAGCTTTTATTAATCCACAAAGATGTATTTATTGATTTTGGAGATTATTCAATTTTTTTTGAAGAAATAAAAAAATTATTGTTCTTGTATTTCTTTTGAAATTTTTAAGTCATAATATTATTATTATTTTTCGTTTATTTAAGTTTTCGGAGAAATTCTTTTGTTTATCTTAACCTCTGGAATTTCATATCCTTTGGTTAATTACAGTCTTTTGATATGATTATTGGCAGATTCAACTATGTTAACCGACAATTATATTTATTAGCTCTGTCATTCTACGAATAATTATCGTGATTAGGCCTGTAAACGAACCGAATGAACATGAACGGGGATATATTCATGTTCGTTCGTTTAACTTTAACCGAACAAATAAATGAACATGAGCATAAACGAACAAAAAATTTCTTGTTCGTGTTCGTTCGTTAAGGAATGTAACTTATTCATGTTCGTTCACTTAAATGATAAACGAACACAAATGAATGAACATAAACAAACGGATGTAAACAAACACAAATGAACGAACGTAATGAACATAAACAAACACAATAAATGGACGTAAATGAACATAAATGAACGTAAACGAACATAAATGAATAAAACAAAAGAACATAGATGAACATAAACCACAACAACAATAATCACATAAAATTTATTAGTGTAAGTTGAACTTCATAGTTAATTTGTATTTAATTGTTTTGGGCTTTTTTATTTGTATTTAAAATTAACTAAAATTTAAAATATTAACGAGTATTAGATTAAAATTTATTGAGCTTTAATATTTTAAATAGGTATAGAGAGATTGAGCTAAACATAAACGAACGAAAGTAAACGAACATAAATGAACGACCATAAATGAACATATTATCGAACGTTCACGTACGTAAATGAATGAATGAACCCTCTGTTCGTGTTTGTCATTTAATTAAATAAACACAAAATCTAATTCATGTTCGCTCGTTTAATAAATAAAAGAACAAAAACGAACTTCCCACCAAACGGTTTACTGAACATTCGGTTCGTTTACAGGGCTAATCTTGAGCATAAGTATAACACCATCACCAAGTATCGGTGTATGCACCATCAAATAAGATTGAAAAAAAGTTTTTAAATTCTATTTCTTTCCCTCGACCTCTTTCCATACAATATAATACTTTCTTGAACATATCAGAATTATTGATAATAATTTTTTACTTAAATCAAAATAAACAAATTGTCAACTCTCATTATAATTATAATTCTTCTATCAATAATAATCTTTTTATTTCAGTGTCGCAGAGAAAAGGTGGTAATGTTTAGGGGAGGAGGCTGCTTTTAATTCAGTGTCGCAGAGAAAAGGTGGTGATGATCAGATTCAAAAATCATGTGTAGAAGGGAGGTCGAATGGGTCTGATTCTACCCAGGCCTCATTGGAGAGCTATTCTGAGAAGAATTCGGTGATCTTGTCGTCGGAAAAAGAACGAGATGAGGGTGTTACTTCTCAAAAGGAGAACACATTTAATCAGAAGAATGGCAGTCGGATACTTCCTCGATGAAGAAATCTTATACAGAAGAGGTAGTGATCAAATTTTGTTAAGGTGCGTGACTACCGGAAAAGCAATTTAAGAGCATTATGGAAGCGGTGCATGGTGGAACATGTAGAACACATGCAAATGGTTTATCTATGGCAAGGAAAATCATGAGATATGGGTACTATTGGGCCACGATGCATACAGATTGTATCAATTATGTAAGAAGATGACACAAATGCCAGATATATGCGGATAAAATTCAGGCACCACCTTCGCCTCTACATGTTATGATCTCACCTTGGCCATTTTCTATGTGGGGGTATGGACGTCATTGGGACAATCACACCAAAGGTTTCAAATGGGCCTTTGTAATAGTATCCAACACGGATCCGAGTCCGAGGTGTTACATTGACTTTTCAAAACTCTGTTCTTTACAAATTCACTAAAAACTTAATTATCATTTGAGAAAATGAATACTTTACAGTAATAAATACAATCAAATTATTTTACAACCCAATCAAAGCATATTCAACTCAATCAATTAGTACATGCCAATTATATTAAAAAATAATCAAATACATTTAATTCTTCTATTTTCTGATCTGAAACTTTGTAAGGGAGATGCGGACATGTCTTGCTTCTCTTAGATTCTCTTCTCGCTTCTGTAACCTATGTGTGAAACAATCACACGCTAAGTCTATGACTTAGTGAGGCATTAAATTTATAAAAGAACTCTAACTATTTAAGCATGCATAAGCACATCATCTCATGATGTCACACCAAAACAATATAACATTACATATAATGTAATATACACATATACATATCTCACACTATTTCCATCACTAACCTTATTCCACTATCCATATTCTTATTATTTATGTCTTATAATCATATACTCATATATTCATTCATTTAAACCATATATGATTCATTTAATCAAACAATATACACATCATCTCATATATCATATAATACAATTCATATCACAAAAGCATATACTTTGCATGTAAGATATATTTATTGTTATCTCTTTGTTAGCTCATGTACACTTTTGAGAACTATAGATATGTGAGTCTATTGAGGTTGTGCACTATGCTGTCACCACAGCTCGCATAATTGTCCCGAAGGACCTATCCATAGGTCATGAAGAACCTCGGCAACTATCCATAGGTCCCGAAGAACCTAGGTAAACTGTCTATATGCTTCTTAGAACATAGGTATACTGTCCATATGTCTCAAAAGACAGGTAATTCTGTCCATATGTTCCGTAGAACATAGGTAAACCCTCGACTCTTGGCATGCCAACTATACCACTAGCTCTCATATTACATAACATGGGCATTACCATTTATAACATTTCACATATTTCATATAAACACGTAATTCACTGTCACATATCACGTAGCTTATGTCGCATAACTTGTATCACATATACACATTCACATATACACATACACACATAGTTCACTTACACGTAGAATATTTTCATATGATTCACATATCACATAGCTTATCACATATAATTGTATTCTTTTTCGTATAATCACATAGTCATATATTATTTCATATAATCTCATAGGTCATATCATATAGATACGTATTCAATACTCATAGTCACATATCTTATCTCTTGTTCTAATAGGTTCATATTTATCATTTAACACATAGATTCTTATTGCATATTTTATATCATATTCTTATACCACTAATTCATAATATAATTTAGGTCAATGTCGCTTAACTTATTTTACTCTTTCACTTATTCATATAATTTCATTACACCAATTTCTATAATTTATACAACATCATGCACTCATTTTCCTATAATTGATACATTAATGCCATATACTTTATATTTCTAATTCTTATAACATCCTCATATGATTTCAAGTACTTTGATACTATAATTCATATCATATAAAACATCTAACAATTTTAGATCATAGTTTCATTTAACATATCGACCTTCCTATATTACTTATCTAACATATTCATATACTCATATCACATAATAATTTCACCTGACTATATCTTATGTTCATTTCAGGCTTAAATCGTATAATATCTAAGTCTCCCTTATATAGTTTACGCTACCTATTCATATAATCTTATTTGAATCTTATAGGTAATTGCTACTTTCTCTTGTCTCATTTCCCTTTTACCAGTTTACATGATTTATTACACTAACCTTTACAATAATGTATGACTTATATCACTTATCTCACCATATTTAAATCCTAGTTTACTCTATTTATTTAATTCAGTTTCATATAACACCTATAATCCTTCTCATAGGGATTTTATAGTTCTTCATTTTATAACTCATATATCATAGTTTCTATAGTGCTTATCTTATAGGTTCGTATCACCATCATATAGTTATTACACACATACAAATCATGTATTACATATAATCACAAATATCACATATACTCATCTTACACCCATGATCATGCTCATGATTTTATGCATACTACCATAGGAAATATACTCATCGCGAGTCTTGTTTCCATTCATCATACATCACTAATATGTACTTACATGTGCCTCACTTGCTATCAATTACTCATATGGCTTGTTTTCTCTTCTTGATCAATTCTAACCTTTCAATCATTACGAAACTTTCTCTTGATCGATATCTACACAATCATGTATTTATACTATCAGTATCC